CGCCACCATTTCCACTGAATTCAACTGCAGAGTCGGCCGAACGCAGTGGAAATGCAATTTATGATGCAAGTGTTAGCAAATAATTTAATATTCCAAAAAAAGGATTCGGTCCTGTGACTCAATTTGGGCCCCACGGATACGAAAACACAGAGTTAAGACTCATCAGCTGGAGACTACGCCATAGCTGGCCAGCTGGCACTCATCACAGACAGGTCATGGGCTTTTCTCGACGGTCTGGCATCGCTGCGACAGGAGATCAGAGGCCCCTCCTGGAACAGTCACGCGCCTGACAGGACACGTCGCCACACCTCGAGTTATTTCGGTGATATAAATTCATTCATTCGTTCTTTCATTCATTCATTCATTTGTGCATTCTTTATGTGAATCGCTTTATCTTAATGGACCACCTAATTTACCAATAAAACTGTCTAAAAACTGGCAGCAGAAGCCAGTGGTCAGGCAAAACGATCATTAACAGTTATAAAAACAGACACGGTGCTCCTAATGCCGGAAACACTCGCCGGAAGTGTCTGGTTCCGGTGTGGTGACCCCAACCTCCAGAGCGGGTCAGCTGGCCACATTTCTGTATCACACGACGGCCGGGTTCTCCGAAAGGGGCGAGCCCCAAGGACGCACGTTCACCACCGCAGAGGAAAAGCTGAGTTTGTGGAACGCAGTAACAGTTAACTATGCTGAAAACATGAGTCAGATAACGGTAGGCCTACATGACGCCGCTACCGTGAAGGGAAACGAAGCTGTTCAAGAAGCCGCTTTACGTTTGACCGAGCTACAGTACCTATGTATGTATGAGCTAAAGTATAAGTTACAAACCGCAATATAATTGCATGACATATAACCTTGTTGAGGCATGAAGCATCTCAGAGCTTTTATCTCTAAAATATAACAGTTCTTGATGTGCCTTGTAAGTCATAAAGGATTAAGAAACAAACACGGTTGCAAACTACGCAATAAACACCGTTTCGAAATAGCAGTAAAGGCAATAAACGGTTCGGTTTATCCGTTATCATTTCAGAACGAGGCAGAGGAAAACTTAATTATCCTGAAAATAAAACCAAACACCTCTGTATCTCACGATACTGGTGTGTAGAGGTCTACGAAACAACGTAACCATACGATGCCGATACCTAAGCATCTGCATTCGTTTTAAAAAACACAACTAAATTTAAAATAAAAACAACTAACTTCATGCCCTTATTCGGAATCTAATAAGCACCGTACGCCACCATTTGTATCGTCCACGGATAGACAGGGGCGGCCTGAGCCCTGCCCAGACATCAGCAAGAGGTCACCAAATCGACTGGGCGCGCCTCGTCCGAGCCCGGACATTCCAGCAGCGGAGCTGACGGCGTGTTTGCACTATACACAGTGCAGACCTCGGTGCATCGCCCCCTCCCTCACCCCCCCCCCCCTGCGGTTGCAACCAGTCGGTGCGAACCTGACCTGTCCCACGACTGGATGGGGGAGGGAGGGGGGGTGCGGCCCGCCACCGATAGGTCGATGGCTGCTTACACTTAGGACCGGCGTCCACCTGAGTGTAGGCAATCGCCAGGGTAAGCTCTAGGGCGCTAGAAACGCATAGCTTCGTTTAATCTCGGCAGGGTAATTGATCGAATATCTGTCCCAGCTGTCAAACGATCACTTGCACCACTTGCGGTCATTGCGACACCCCCGGCAGCAATATTGCAACAGCACACAAATGTTGCATCCGTGCACGAAAACCACCGAAAGTCAGACGGTGGACCATTCGTAACAAACTTTGTCGTAATAGCACAACCCATTATGACATCGTAGCTTTTCTTTTTGTTATTAACAACCAGAGGCGAAAAGGCTTTACGGCCCGTCGGTCATTCACCGTAGGTAGTTGCAAGCCGCTACCTGTCTCGTAAAACTAGCCCATGGACCCCCAACGAGTTGGTCTTCATCCTAAAGAGCTGGCAGACTGGCCAGGGAAGGTCACCCTGGCCATTTCTGCCCCGACACCTGCTGAGTGCTGATCTTACCGCTATCGTGACTATAAAGAGTCCGAGGCGGGCCCGACCCACCTCAAGATAAATTTAGCCGCATAACGGTGCAGTTCTGGTAAAACTTCGTAGACATCTTTATCCGCATGACAAGAGTGCGTTTGCTAATATAAACGAGGCCTGAAGCCCCCCCCCCCCCCACACCTCACAACAAAAACATACATGCAATGAGTCGACATCTTTCAGAATCGCTATTCCACCCCAAGCAGCATGTTACTGACATCCGACATCATCTGAGGACATTCTGCAGCCGCCCATCCCTTAGCTTCAGGTTCTGTCAGTTCCCATCCCAGTCGCGGCGACCCCGGTGGGTGGCCTCTCGAGCACCCCCAGGGCAGGGGTGTGGGGGGGGGGCGGGGCGTCAGACAGCATTTCGGCGTCACCGTCTGGGGAAGCCAGACAGCCGTCGGCGGCGACGACGGCGGCGACGGGCCGGTGACCGCGTGAGCGTCGCCTTCCGGTGGCGAACGGCCAACTGCGCACAGACTGAACGGGACAGCGAACAGAGAGCGACCGCTCGGGCGTACCGTCGCCACCGTCACTGCACGCCAGACTCGGACTTCCAGACAGTCACCGCAAACTAGACTCAGACTCGCCTATCGTCGTTATTGACCTAAGACTCAGACTCCCAGACAGTCGCCACATACCAGACTCAGACTCGCATACCGTCGTTATTGACGTAAGACTCATGACTTCTAAACAGTCACCGCAAACTAGACTCAGACTCGCATACCGTCGTTATTGACTTAGTTATTGACATCGTTATTGACTCAGGCTCCTAGATAGTTGCTGCAAACCAGACTCTGACTCGCATACCGTAGTTATTGGCCTCAAGACTCAGACTCGCGCCCCGCCGCCGCAACCCTCACTGACCAGTCTGTGCAGGCACCTCGTGTAACACACCAAACTGCACGTGTGGCTGTCACTTGGCCGGGCCGAGCAAAGGTGCTGAACAAGCACCCCAGACGCACGCGCGTCTAGTCTGAGCCGCTCGGCTTGCGTCATCCGTGTTTCAGTTCTTCAATTCTGGCTGACGCAATGGCAACGCCGGGATGAAGTTAACACGAGGGTTCCTGATCAGCTTTCACGGAGCATTCACGATCTCGCTTTGATCATAAGGTGCGCAATTCATAACGCCGACGATGACAGCTTTATGAAAAACGAATGAAACATTCATTTTCAATTATAAGTCTTCAAAGCGACGTCGCGTTTCTACTTTTGAAGGTTTATTATGATAAAGGGACGTCCAATAGCATTCGCGAGCGTAGTTCAATCGCTCCTGTCGCGCCGGCGTCGCTTGTGCCCGCACTGCACCAGAACTGCCATTTGAAATGCATCATCCGGTCAATCTAGTCCCAAGCACGATGCATTGCGACACACGGGACTACAAAATCAGACCGCAGACGATACTGGTTTCAAATCGAGCCAGACGATACTGGTATAAATTCAGATCACAGACCCATCCACTGTCTGGTCACAGTCTACGACGCAAAATGACCCCAGCAGTCGGCGCGCCCTAAAGCTCCAATAAACAAACAAACAGTCTACGACGTGGCATTGACCGGCGATGCCAGGGTTACGGATAGTATTCGCAACACAGATGTCTCGGAACAGACAATAGGCCTGCAAAGCTGCTCTTTGTGATGAGATTATTAGTTTCGTTCATCGTTTTGTAATTATGTTATAAGGACGGGGTGGTAGCTACTAGCTTGGAGTTCGGACACCGCAGTGACTGGTTATTGGGCTGCTGAGTCATGTTCCTACCAATATTTCTCCTTTTGCAGTGGATGGCGTATGCAGTATGCTGTGTGTATTATTTATAGCGGGGAAGCCCTGTCACAGTGCCTTCAGTCGCCACCATCTATCGATTATTCAGATGGTCTTATGGGGGGCCGTCGCCAGCGACTCACGAGCGTCGAAAATGTCTTTCGTCGCGACACACAATCCTCTTGTGGACGAGGTAGGTCATGAAAGGACCCGTGGCCAGTGTGGACACACTTCAGCGTGTCAACTAGCAGTTAACACAGCCAACTTTCGAATTTGTATGCCTGAGCAAACTTGTTCGTCCACGCTCAACCGCCAACTTCCCATCCCCGTCACTTCATGGCGAATCGTCCAGCCTTCCCCAAGGCATGTCGCTGGGACCACAGCGCATTTCCTGCAGCGGTTCACTCACGAATGTTGGACCTGAACAGCGGGTTCGATGCCGTGCTCCGCTGGAAATCGAGCTCAGTCTGCACCCAGGGACCCTCTGCGCCCCGGGGCCGGGCCAGGGTCGGGCCGCAGCTCCAGCCGGGCCGGGCGCCTGCCAACGACCGGGCGATGGGCACGAACACATTTCGGCAGCTCCGGCCTCCGATGGCCCAATCCGACCCGGCCAGACGGCCACGGCGACCCCGGGCCGTTCGGTGACGTCACCGTGACGTCATAGTCGGCCACCATGACCTGGGGTTATGTAGCGGCGTGATGGTTAGACGACCGTCGGAGAGCCGAGAGACTGGACGTGAGGATCGAGAAATGGAAGAAGCGCAGGATATGTGGAGCGAAATCAGAGTAAGGACAGTCCAACTGTACCGAATAGAAAATCGCTCAACTAGAGCATGGCTTATCCCTGGAAGAGGATGATATATTTTTATTTCTGAAACTATCAGGACTCACCACCGGCAAGGTGTTGCGAAAAGCAGAACTTGTTCTTCCCGTCCAATTGCATTTCATGTAGGTAAGCAAGCACCTACGGCATGTACAGATGAATTATTTCGGCACAAATCATTCATCGCTGATGTTGCATGTCATAAAAAACATGGTGCTTAAAAGATGGCATAGAGATAGACGTCAGTTTTTCAGGGCTCAAGTCAATAATATCAATCTCTCCCATTGGAAACGCTCCGTCACACATATCCTTCACATGTCGTGCCTATGGGTCGGATGGATTGTTAATAACGATGAACGTAGACTTACCTGGGGATTGTGGAAGAACTCGTACTTGCCAAAGTCCTTCTTGAAGTAGAAGGACGAGTTGCTGTGCGCGGTCTTCATGATTCGGTACGTGTTCAACACATCCTCGTGATCCTCCACAGTCCTCTCTGGGGAAACGGAGAACAGCAGTCACTAAAACCGTACTGTGTCATACGGCGAGACTGCAGTTACAAACGTCATAACGCTAAGTGCTGGATCAAAGGGCGCTTTCAACAACGTACGAAAAGTCCTATGCTACGCGAAAAGTATGCGGGAACTTATCTCATTTGTTTTAAAATTCAAACCATTTAAGTCCCTGTCGTTGTCTGTTAATCTTACAAAGGACCCGCTTAGGCTTTTTTACGCTGATCAAGGGTAGCTTTCCAACAATTTTGTAAATGCACATGGATGCGTAGAAAATCGGACTTATTAGGCATATCAAAAGTTGAGCAAGTGACTTTTGAACTAGGGATTCGAAACAGCCAACTGCTGCAAAAGATTTAGTTTCAATAGGAAAACGTCAAGTCAATTGAGAAGGTGCGAATAAAAAAAAAAACATACTCGTACATGTTAGGCAGCAGACCTGTAAAAAGCAGAGAATGGTAGGACAAAAAATATCAGGGTGAAAAAATGACCGACCAACCACATAACACTTGTACACCTGAACAGACAGCAGGGAAAAAATCCGTTCCAATTTTAATAGCTCGGCAGGTGTTGGTTTTGACCTTTAAAAATGCAGCTGTGAAGTAAATAGAGACACATGTCCCACCCCCGCATGGGGCAGCCCACGCATGTCTAGACACCATTCATGCCCGTCACCTCACGGTACACCCCACGCGGCCGTGCGACACGACAGCGATGCAACAGCACGGTGCATCGCGTCAGGTGGGGCGATGGTCGCGTGAGGTGTGAATGCACCGGCACAGTGCACGTGGAGTGACAGGCCAGCGAATGGCTCCGATACGCGAACCGTTCCAATCATAGTGTGCCGATCGATACGCTATCATATCTCAGCACCGACAACTATTTCAAGTAGTGCCTATTTCCTTCCAGACACCTCCAGACTTATCGATGCACATGGCAAAGTGCGAAGAAATTGGTATACGCACACAGTAGGTGTTGCACACCCACCGGTGCTTATATAATGTCAACCAGAACAACAAAGATGTTGCTCAACTATGACACAGCTAAGTTCCATGAGGTGCATTCGCCTCGGGAAATATTAGTAGAATGTTCCCAACTTCCATCTGCGCAGTTTTTACACAAGCGCGCAACCTCACGTCGCAAATAATTTCCAATTTGAATTAGCGTAAAGGCACCGCAAACATTCTACCCCTCAGAAGTCTCTATAACAAAAGATGACATCCACTCCTGCGTCATGACATGTCATCAAAGACGACTGCCAGCATCGACAGAACGTTCTAGCGGCGGCCAAGGCCCAAGGTCTCTGTCGAACGGTTCAGGCCGGCCGCCGCCGGCTGCGTCGCTTTCGTTGGCTAATAGGATTCCGCGAAGAGCTGCGTTACCAGGCCTACTGGGAAAACAATCGGAACCGAGCCTTCTGGCTGGTTGGACCGGTCGGAAGTCCCCCCCCCCTCCCCTCCCAGTCCGCCTCGGCACGCAGAATGGCGTCAGGTGTGACAAGGAGAATCGACCTCGCACGCTATCCGAATCAGTCTCTGGTTCGTGTCACAGTTTTGATGGTTAACGTTTTTTAGCATAATAATGATCATCATTGCATTCAGAATCAATAATAACCCTTTGTTTAATTAAGAAAAAAAATCAGCATGAGTGGTGCGATCTGGGACACTAATTACTCGGCCTTCTCCTAGCCCGTTCTTCCCTTGGCAGACCTCAATGTCGTCGCCGAGACTGTGGCGTATTTAGTGATCACCATCGGATAGTTTTATATCGAAGATAGTTTGAGACCCGTGAGACAGTAGGATGAGGCACAGCCCAGCAATGCAAGTACAGCAGCCCAATTCAACAGCCCGCCCATGTAATCTCGAGGCATTTGGAGTACGCTCACAGTTGGATCCATAAATATAAAATACCCAGGTATTCTCCATAGGCAGACGTGAAATAACATAAGCCCATGCTCGTTGTAAATCAGGAAATAGGCTGTGATTTCTCACGGCTGTTTGCCTGCAGCGTAGATCGGAAATTAAACCAAACTAAGTCTATGATAATTGTTCTTGAACTTCCCAGCCTTTTTAGGATTTCTTGTCCATGCAAAATACGCTACTTCTGCTTTAAGGTCTTCCGCAGCTTACCAAGGCTATAATTGAACACCGTTAATATTCATTCCGCTACTCTTTACTCTCAAGCCTTAGCAAATCATTGCATACATATACAGTATACACCTAAATTAGATTGGTAACGCAGATCGGCAGTCCTCAGGACAAGCTAAATCGGTCAAAGCCGCTATTTAAGTTTTCATGAACTGAGCAGCAATGCACGCCTCCATTGCTCTGCGAAATCACGGCATAGAAATTTGAAGCCCTTGCTTTAATGCAAGGAAACGGCACTGATGTTTACGTCCTAGCCTTTATAGCGGCATTCATACAAAATGTAATGTAAGGTCACTGCCTGAACATATAAGGGAACGTCCCGGATAGCAGCAATCATTTCTACTTGGCAGTCAGCAAGAGTTTGAGTCACCCAAAGCAGTGATACAGCCGGATCCCATTAATGCGAACACCACTGTTTACATCATACCGCTACCCCACTGAAGCTCAGTTTAAGCACATGACACGTGTCATCTACCTACTGTAATACAGGGAACGGAACCGTACAAACGGTATTCATGATACAAAACTGTTCCCTACTGGGTCGACATGCGGCACAGGCAAATATCCGCAGACGAATTTGCAACTATGTGTGGTGTTCAATTGCTGACGTCATGCCATGCTGCATGACATTCCCTGACATGAGCTCAATCACTGGTCACAATTTCTTTTGGTAACGGGATCAGCAAATGTGAACAGCACTGCGAAAGGTCTGACAGAAGAAAGTCCCCTGCTTTAGCCGTCTGCCCGGCGGCCGGCGGACTGTCGTCAGACACGGCTGGACACGTCGGGAAAGGTCACAAGGTCACACCGTCCCATGGATGTGACAAAGAACAACCAGTTGACGTTCGCTTCGCCTCCACCCCCCCCCCTCCCACTACCGCCGCGAGCTCATGGCTTCTATAACGTCGGCCAGACTTCCAGACAGACCGTATGAGAGGGTGGAGCAAACGGCGCGCACTACTCTGCCAGGGAACGCCAGACAGACAGGCGCGTCCACCGTCTGAGTGTGAAAGGGCGGCACATGGCACGTGGCAGCGTCGACAGGTCTGTGTCGACGTCCCCTGTTTCAACGTGTACCACAGACGACAGGTGGAGACGAGACTCGCCCCGAAAATGACCGTCTTATCGGCCGCCGCCGATAAGACCCGTTGAGGGCTCCAGCCGCGACCAGCCGGCACTGAGCCGGGGGACGGACGCGCGCAAACACGACGGGCGGGCAATAACATGGGGAGCTCAGTCGGGGAGCGGCCGCGACCGCGAGAGGAGAGGAGTGACGGCGCGACACAGGGACCTACTCCATATTTGTGATGGAAGTGCGGAGAGCAGTGCTCCGGCTTAGGAGACGCCGGTTGAGTGTTGCACGGTGTGCACGGCGGATACTTGGCCTAGCGGCCCTCCTTTTTTCCTACCTATTCGTCGTGAACTCGGTGGCGGCAGCGCCAACGAGGGATCGATCATTATCAGCCAAAGCACGTATAGTATATCGTACCCCACCGCTGACCAGACGGGTTCATGGGCTACGCAGCCAAAGAAAATGCCACCAGCTGTGGTCCGTAGAAAAACTTCGGAGAAATAATTGAGGTAGGGCGACGCAGCTTTGTCGGTTAATTTCGTCCCAGACAATGCAGTACCAACAAAGTGATGGGTTTTGCGTCGTTTTTGGCACGGCAGATGGCTTCTGGCGCCAAAGGAAGCCCGTGCGGACATCATGGCGGCACTCGGCAGTGAGATAGGATAGGTGTTTTCATTGCAAATATTAGTATACCGATTCATCCATAAAGATGTGTATAGAATTTCAACTTCTAAGCAGAAAGATGGACTGGCGAGGCTGGCGAGGTGTGTTCGCTAACTAAAGGACAATTCCTGTTCCACCACCGCTCCAAAGCTCTATTATTACGTCATTGGTCTCTACTCACCGATGGCCGGGTCCTGCCACCGCTCTACCACTCTATTATTACGTCATTGGTGGCTTTTCCAGTACTCACCGATGGCCGGGTCCTGCCACCGTTCCACCAGCGACCAGTTGACGTCATTGGTCACGTTGTTCTTGTGCGCCAGCAGTTCGCAGAGGTCGCAGGTACGCAGTCCCTCGGCCACGATCACCGACTTACATGTGCCGTCCTCGTTGCAGACAACGAGCTCCGTCTGGGGAGAAAAGAAAGGGGTGTGAGTCAAAATACTTCACGAAAAAAAGAAACGTGGTTCTGTTACTAAAAACGATTAACTATGAAGTCGCATTTGTCGACTCTACATCTACAATAACTCGTTTGCTGATTGGTTCACGAAGCTCACGAAATTACAGGAGTATAGTAAATGATTTTGTGTCACACAATAAAGTTGTTCCACATCCCTTCAGTGCATACCATTCACAAACATGTCAGGTCAGCCACCATCCACCTATCATCATCCATCAGCGCCAAACATCACGTCACGGGTCTGAGATGACACACCAGCGATCGAACCGGTTACAACCAGTTATCTCGGCCTGACGGGCCGGGTCGATCGCACTCTACATGGGTGGGGCTTTTCTCGAATTATTAACCCATTCCCCTCAGGCTACGTCAACTGCAGTGACCTCAGGTCACCATCGTGACCTCTGAATAACACCGGGGTACTAGGGTGACCGGTTTTGCAAAAAGTTTCGAAAAGTTTTGCTCCCCAGGTCTAATCTAACGTATTTGGGGGTGCTGATCACGAATCCGGCGGAAAAAATATAAAATTCGAATTTTTTTTGACCGCCCCGGCTCTTTGATTATTTCCGGTTTTCTCAATTTTTGCATGTTTTTGAATAATATGATGAATGTAATGAAAAAATATTAAAAATGTATCGCTAAATGCATGTACCAGTCGATTCGGCACACAGCGGCGTCGAAATCGGCACGCCGCCTGCTTCACCGGCCTCGCAGGAAAGCATAAGGCTCGGAAGGTTTGCGTTAGTTACCCGATTCTCTCCATAGATGGCGCTGGCGTAGCCGCCCGCCGGCCGGTCGTTGCCGTGCCGTTCACAGCCCCGGCGGTCACTTGCGACCGTCGTGGTCGTTATGCTACGTCTATCAAAGCACGACAGAAATGTTCACTTCATTTTTATGTTACTTCAGACATATTTTAAACCTAATGTTGAATTGGATAAATGACTATCGTGAATTGGCGAAATGGTGGAGTGCGCTCGGGAGCCATTTACAATAGCGAGGAACGTAGGTGGATTGATCTGAGTAACATATGACTCTGCGTTCACTATTGATATGAAGTTTATTCACACTATGTAGTATGTAGTCGGGTGACATGAGAACAAAGTGACTAACATACCTTGTGTACGACACATGGATGAAGCTAATGCTACTTTTTCATTTTGTTTCGGTAGGCCCGTTTGTTCAGAGCGTAGCCGTCCTGTCGGTCTGCGCCTGTTACAGCTGTGACTGATTCGGTGGTCAGCTTTACAGCCCTTTCGGTGGATTGGGTATGGCAGGGGACCCCCGTTTTGGAGTCTGTAGAAAGTCGCGCAACTCATCCTCGCTCATGTGTCGTACACAAGGGGGCTCAATGTCTCGGCCCTCGTCAACCGCTCGCTGCACGTTAACCAGTTCCATATAGTTGTTCGCTTGAACGTTAATTTCCGGCAGCCGGAAGTGCCGAATGGGCTGCTGCTGTGGCGGTGGGGGTGGCAGCTTTGGCGGCGGTCGTGGCGGCGGTGCCGGCGGTGGTGGTGGTGGTGGTGGTGGTGGTGGTGGTGGTGGTGGTGATGGCCGCCGCCGTTTCAGACGCCGCTGCTGCTGTTGTGGCGGCGGCGGCGGTGGCGGTGGCGGTGGTGGTGGTGGCGATGGCCGCCGACTCTGTCGCCGCTGCTTCTGCTGTGGCGGGGGCGGGAACGGCGGCTGCTCCTGTCGCTGCCTTTTTTGACGAATGCTTTGGATTAATAATCCAAAACGAATGCTCTGGAACGAATGCTCCAAAACGAATGCTCCAAAACGAATGCAAAACGAATTAATAATCCAAAACGAATGCTCTGGATTAATAATCCAGAGCATTCGTCAAAAAAGGCAGCGACAGGAGCAGCCGCCGTTCCCGCCCCCGCCACAGCAGAAGCAGCGGCGACAGAGTCGGCGGCCATCGCCACCACCACCACCGCCACCGCCGCCGCCGCCGCTGCCACAACAGCAGCAGCGGCGTCTGAAACGGCGGCGGCCATCACCACCACCACCACCACCGCCGCCGCCGGCACCGCCGCCACGACCGTCGCCAAAGCTGCCACCCCCACCGCCACAGCAGCAGCCCATTCGGCACTTCCGGCTGCCGGAAATTAACGTTCAAGCGAACAACTATATGGAACTGGTTAACGTGCAGCGAGCGGTTGACGAGGGCCGAGACATTGAGCCCCCTTGTGTACGACACATGAGCGAAGATGAGTTGCGCGACTTTCTACAGACTCCAAAACGGGGGTCCCCTGCCATACCCAATCCACCGAAAGGGCTGTAAAGCTGACCACCGAATCAGTCACAGCTGTAACAGGCGCAGACCGACAGGACGGCTACGCTCTGAACAAACGGGCCTACCGAAACAAAATGAAAAAGTAGCATTAGCTTCATCCATGTGTCGTACACAAGGTATGTTAGTCACTTTGTTCTCATGTCACCCGACTACATACTACATAGTGTGAATAAACTTCATATCAATAGTGAACGCAGAGTCATATGTTACTCAGATCAATCCACCTACGTTCCTCGCTATTGTAAATGGCTCCCGAGCGCACTCCACCATTTCGCCAATTCACGATAGTCATTTATCCAATTCAACATTAGGTCTAAAATATGTCTGAAGTAACATAAAAATGAAGTGAACATTTCTGTCGTGCTTTGATAGACGTAGCATAACGACCACGACGGTCGCAAGTGACCGCCGGGGCTGTGAACGGCACGGCAACGACCGGCCGGCGGGCGGCTACGCCAGCGCCATCTACGGAGAGAATCGGGTAACTAACGCAAACCTTCCGAGCCTTATGCTTTCCTGCGAGGCCGGTGAAGCAGGCGGCGTGCCGATTTCGACGCCGCTGTGTGCCGAATCGACTGGTACATGCATTTAGCGATACATTTTTAATATTTTTTCATTACATTCATCATATTATTCAAAAACATGCAAAAATTGAGAAAACCGGAAATAATCAAAGAGCCGGGGCGGTCAAAAAAAAATCGAATTTTATATTTTTTCCGCCGGATTCGTGATCAGCACCCCCAAATACGTTAGATTAGACCTGGGGAGCAAAACTTTTCGAAACTTTTTGTAAAACCGGTCACCCTACCGGGGTACTTCCCATGAGCCGTCACGCAGAGCGTCACGAAACTCCCGCGCGCGTGACACACGCGTGGCACGACGCCTCACGTGTCAGCGGGTCTCGTCGTGTGGGCCATCCCGGACACACCTTAGTGGACACCCGGCGGGCCTCTCCACCCCCCCCCCCCCCCCGCCCCGCGCAGGGGGAGGGGGCGCTCAGACGCCCAGACGGTGTAAAAACGGCGGCGCGCCAGAGGCCTTGAGCGGCCAACAGACAGTTTTTGCGGCACGAGCCGATGTTACTCCACTCTGGAGTACGCTAGAAGTCCTCAGGAGGCCACGACGTATATGTAGTGGCGGAAACCATTGCTTAGTAATTGTCCTAACCTTCTTGACCAATCGCTGACTCATCACTTTCAATCCATTCACCATCGCAGGAAGGTCGTCCACTGTTCTCTAGTTAGGACAAAAGCATTAAAAGCGCGGTGCTATTTTTACGAATGATTTCGTCGTTACATACTCCGGGAGCTACTTCAGGTATTCCAGTGAAAGTGAGCATGGTCTTCAAATCCACCTAAAGGTGCAGGATAGTGGCATTTCAGACCAGCAGCCTTTCCACGCCGCGCCGCTCATAACAGGCTCTATCGCTCGGGGCGCCAGTCGGCTGCGCGTTTCGGCCCCTCAGCTGCGGGCGGCCGCTGGGTCCGTTCCCCCTGACCGGGCCGCGTTCGGCTGGGTCAATACTCCAAGCCGGCAAGGCCAGCGCCGCGGGGGTGAGTGGGTCCGATAACCACCCGCCGCCGCCCGCCGGGGAAATCTGGCCACCGCCCGCCTCAGGGGGCGGCCATTGTACTCGGTCCCCCGCCGCAGGGCAGACTGCACCCACAGGTCACCGCAGGACTGCACACTGATGTCCGCAATGACGGTCAGTGTGTCCACTATCCAGCCATCATGTCATGTTAAGCACCGCACCAGCACCCAATGTATCAAGTCGAGGAGCACCCGTTGTACTAAATCAGGGCATGTGCAATGTGCATCGTGCGTCCTTTGTACCCGACTGACCGACGCTATACGGTGACCATTGCACCCCGTGATTGGCGCCGATTGTCAATAGTATTCGACATCCCCTGCCCTACGTGCACCCATTGTACCCTGCACCCTCCACAGGAGCACCCATCCAATGTACCCTTTGAACCCTCGCAGAAGCGCCCGTCGCCCCGGACACGGTAGAGCGATCTGCATAGACGACAGCTGCGCGGCAGACGAAACTGCACAGTTCCGGTGCGATCGAGAGCACAAGTGGCCGACCAAAGGTTGATGGTGATGGTTGCGCCGCATGGTGCAATGGTTACGTGGCAAAGGACGCGGGAGGGACGGGACTTGCAAGATGAATTGAGAGCACACACGCACGCACTCAACATAAGAGCACGAATGCAACACGGAGCAACATTATAACGAACACTTAACAGTAAAATCACAAACAAATACCTAACGGAGAGCGAGTTGCTACAACTTCATCATTTTACTGATTAAAAGCAAGTTTAGGAATCAGTTATCAGCAACGCATGGTGTGGGTGCTGTGGCGCGGCGAGGTGTGGTATAGCGCGTGGCGTGGCGTGGCGTGGCGTAGCGTGGCGTGGAATGGCGTAGCGAGGCGTCGCCCAGCAGCTGCGTCCGACAAAAAGCCTCCAACCAGCTGCCCAGCCCACGGCCGGCGCACAGTCGCGGCGGAGGCTGCCTCTCTCTCTCTCTCTCTCTCTCTCTCTCTCTCTCTCTCTCTCTCTCCTCTCTCTCTCTCTCTCTCTCTCTCTCCTCTCTCTCTCTCTCTCTCTCTCTCTCTCCTCTCTCTCTCCTCTCTCTCTCTCTCTCTCTCTCTCTCT